CTTTCTAGAGGTTGTTGTGCAGATCAATTAATAGAACGAAAATGGTGGGAGGGACCTGATTGGTTACGGGAAGATGAGGCAAATTGGCCTAAATCTAATGATGAACCAGATGAGGATTTGGTTAATTCAGAAATATTAAGACAGTTATTGTTACGTTGGCAAAGAGTGATAATTGTATTGGATGGTACTATAAGTATTTCTCATCATTTAAGAAAATTGTAAGAATGTTATCATGGATATTCAGATTTTATAATAATGTACGTAAGAATAATAATAACAACCATTCTAAGGATTTGACTGTATCTGAAATAGAAAGGGGAGAAATAGCTTTAATGTTATTAATACAAAAAGAGTCGTTTAATGGTGAAACAGATGATAAGCTAAGACGACTTAGACCATTTGTCGATAGTCAGGGTCTAATAAGAGCTAAGTCTAATGCTGCTTATCGTAACGACTCTAGCAGCTTTAAGTTCCCCATTATTAAGTGCACACAAAGATTTGTTGCATGCAGGTACTACATTATTGATGTCGCATTTAAGAGAAAGATACTGGATCTTAAAATCACGTAAAACTATAAGGAACTGTATAAGAAAATGTGTAACATGTCAGAGATTTAAGGTTAAAAGAGGTGAGACAGTCCCAGGGGTTTTACCAAATGATAGGGTTCGTGATTCAGCCATTTTTGAAATCGTAGGGTGTGATCTTGCCGGACCCTTGCATTTAAAGGATGGACGAAAATCGTATATTGTGCTCTTCACCTGTGCGGTTTATCGTGCTATCCATATGGAATTGGTTACTCATTAACAACTGAATCATTTTTTCAAGCTTTAAGGCGTTTTATCGCACGTCGTGGACGCCCTACCACCATATATTCCGATAATGGGAAACATTTTGTGGGTGCAGAGAGAGTTCTGCAAACCATTGACTGGGACAGCCTCTGCTCTAAGGCTGCTGAAAAGAGAATACAATGGAAATTTAATCCTCCATCCGCCGCTTGGTGGGGTGGATGGTGGGAGCGTTTAATACAAATTGTAAAACAAATATTAAGAAAAATTTTAGGTCGTGCTTCTCTTGATTATGAAGAGTTACTCACTGTCTTGTGTGATTGTGAAAGAGTTTTCAACTCAAGGCCACTTACGTACGTGTCTGACGATGTTGGGGATCCCTTGCCTTTAGCTCCGGAAAAATTTCTGCATGAAACTCCACAGTCGGGTGTACCTAATATTGACGATGTGGACAAAGAGGGGTTGAGTGCAGGAGCGAAGTATCTCCGGAGAATGAGGGAATTGTTAAGAGTGAGATTTCGCTCTGAGTGTCTAGGGCAGTTGGGACAGCAGTCTACCAGAAATTACAAAAATAAACCTCTCTCTGTGGGAGGGGTTGTCTTGCTGGAGGATCGGGATAAGAACCGTGCATATTGGAATTTGGCACGCGTTATTCGAGTGATCCCTGGTCGAGATGGCGACATGGGGGTTGCTCTTGTAAAAAGTAATAATTCAGAGTTCTTGAGACCAATACAGAGATTGTTTAGATTGAAACTGGATAATATAATAGATAATACTCAAAATGAGCAAGTTCCTTTCACCACCAGTAGTGATAGAGTTGTAAAATCACGAATAATGTAATTTATGTCTTTGAGTTATTATGATTAATTTTTGTGCTATTATTGTTGTTTTATTACTCAGTATTAATTTTGTTTTCAAGTAATATGATTTAAGTATTAAGTAATTTTCTTTGTTATATAACCATCATTTATATTGATGTAAGTTTTATGTTTTGAGTGTGTAGCCATCCACTCAAAAGGTGGGAGAATTGTGGCGACACACTGCCTTTCTGTGGCAACCCTAAAGAATTCGTCTGTCACGAGGATCACGTGCCCAGATGATGCATCGTTACATCTACGTCTGCTTTTCTGTTTGATAGTTGGTTGCATTTAAGATTTTGTAGAGTTAGAAATGGCATGAAAATAAATGTTGGTGTTTTTAAAAAGTGTCGGCTCAGATTTTCGAACCTATGATTTACTTATTAAGCAACAGGAACAAATGAAAAAGGGCAAAAACAGTATTCGCAGCGATCTAGTTATAGATCAGCATGTTTAAGCTAAAAATTTAATTACAAGAACAGTTATTTTTCTTATCTAAATAACGCAGAGCAATTATAAAGGTATTAAAAAAGTGGAACACATAAGAAAGTATACTTACTTTTAATCCCCCCCCCCACACTCCGTTGGATACAAAATCGATAGCTGCGCTATGAAGCATCACCTGGTTAACTTCGTACGTTATCTGCTGATTTGATATAAATTATTGATTACAGCAAAGCCTCGAGGATTATCTGTCAAAAGAGAGGGAAGCCTTCGTGGAGGACTTTCTGAGGGACACTGGCTCGTATACACGTTACACATGGGGAAAACACGAAACGTCCCATGCAGCCAGCCTGTTCGCGGGATTCGAACGTCGAACCGAACTACCAGTGTTCAGCGATTTTACCGCTCGGCCCCTGGTGGACTCGTTATCTGCTGGACTGATCTGGAAAAGAATGTTTCAAAACGCCTTTGGCCACATGTGTAAGGGAATCCGCAAATGACAAGAAAAAGTGATTAAAAGATATTGTTCCTCAGTGGGTGTTCTGAAAGTAGGTGATCTATTAATAGATCACTGTGCGGTAACGGTTAAGTTAAAGCTTAAGTGGAAGCTTTCTGTAAGCCCGAGGGGGGACAACTGTGACTATTCTTGAGTTTAAGGGTAATTTAACCCTTCTTTTGGGCCTAGAAGCAAGCGATTAGTCGCTATACACTTCTTAAGTATTCTAGCTGCTAAGGACCAGCAACTTAGCTGGAATCTTACAAACTTTTGCCTTTTCAATCTGTAAAAAATTGCCAGATATAGGTGGCTGCCTTAATATGTAAGCACCTTAAAGAAAATCACATTTTTTTTTTTTTTTTTTTTCTTTTCAAATTGCGGTATATTTTTTCTGAACATTTAGTGCATTCGGATACAAGCTGCACTTTCTGCTATCATTTATTTAGAGATTCAAAATTAAATTCAAATCAAATATCAGAAAAATCATTTAAGTATCATTATTTGTTCATTTCATAGTTATGTATTCTAATATTTTGAAATAAACAGCAGTAATGAAAAAAAGCATTATAGGATGAAATTTCGGCATCAGAATTAAAAGAGATTATTTTCAGGCATTTGTGACTAATCCGGTTTAAACTTTAATCAAGGGGAAGAAAATGAAATGTTTGAATATTTTATAATACAAAAGTAATAATATACAAGTAAAATGTAGTATAAAAGTCTAATAGGAAAAAGTAAGTAAAAGTAGGGAATAAGTAGTATAACAGAAAAGGAAGTAAAAGTAAGGGAATAAGTAGTATACTATAAGTAAGGAAAAGTATAATAGAATATTTTTCCTAGTAAATATAATTTGTGTGCTTAAGCATATTAATTTTAGTTAAGCATATTAACTAAAATTCTGATTCAGCATCTGTTGAAAACATGAAATAAAATGCCCAAAAGAAGCTCTTCATCTATCTGTGAATTGTATTGGAAATTCCATATTCCTCTCTCTCTATAAATGATGTTTTGCATCATTAAAATGATAATAATCCAAATAATGGCAATTTAAATATTTTTTTATAAAACTGTGGAAAATTAAATTATTTACTATGGATTATATTCCATGAATTGAATTTTATGATTCGCATTTGTCTGACCTTTAATAACACATCGATAGCATATCAATGAATATTTTTTTGTATTCTCTTATAAATGTAATAAAAGCGTTATGAAGAGCAATCACTATTTGTTTGACGTATTTACTTAAAACTATTTCATTCATGATGTATTTGTTGAATATTATTAAAAGTGCATCTCATTCATTTTACCTCTCGCTAACCTATATATATACAAGGGTACACTTGGACTTTGAGCCCAAAAAATTCGCAACTTGACCACTTCGCTAAAGGGAAAAATGGCACTCACTATTTTTACCTCCCGCCAACATAGGTAGAAGGTAATGTTATTGATCCCAAAGTTCTATTGTACATTTGCAGTGAATAAGCATGAATTAAGTTCCCCATAAAAACTTTTGTTTATTTTTTACGATGATGTCCATGTGTCTGCATGTGCAAGACGATTTTATTCATCCTCAATAAATTCTTATATCAAAGTTCTAAAAATTTCTGTTTTCCCTACTTAAGATATCTGCATTAGATTTTTTTGTAAAACTGGACAACCGAAAGTGGTACTTTACTTGAGACCCTAACAGTTTTTTATTGGACAATCATAAGTGGAGGTAAATTCAATAACAGTTTTTAAGGAAAATTATGTTAGAATATAATCGAGAACTTTTCAATTTCAGTATTTTAAGACTTTTCTATCAATTGGAACATCATGTTAGATTTTGGCTAAAACTGATAAACCGGAAGAGATACTTTACTTGAAACTGAACAGACTTTCGTAAAAAAGTGTGTTATGAGATAATCCAAAACTTAGGAGCCCCCTCCTCAAAGCCAGAAACGGACTGTTAAAATTAAAAGACACGCTTTCCAGAAGAGCAAAATTCATTATACGTAATGTACGCAGTTCGCCACTAGTATGGACATTTCCTGACCTTTCGTGGACGCTGCGGAACGGCATAAATGGGAATTTTATCCGTATATATGTCTTATATATCATATTACATGAACATGTCGGAAGAATGTACGCTACTGAGTATTGACGACGTGAGTAACTGAATATTACCTAATGTACTATGTAGCATTATAAGCTAATATGCAATTCAAACCTTAATGTAAAAACACCTTGTATGTGTACATGTAAATTCATAATAATTATTTTATCCGTATATACAGCTTATCTTATCTTCTATATCATATTACAGGATTCAGGATAACTGAGTATTACCTAATGTATTATGTACCTCAGTTACTAATGCACTGAGTATCACCTAATGTATTATGTACATTGTAGCCTGATAATGCAATTAAAACTTTAATGTAAAAACACCTTCCGTACTTTCATTTTAGCAAAATCTTTTATCAAGTCTGCATAATCAAGAGAGTCTAGAATTTTGTGCTCAGTTGATATTAATGCCAAGCCATTCAGTTGCTGTTGCGTTATGCTTGTTCTCTGATCACTCATAATCAGCTTGAGCTCTGAAAAGCTGCGTTCAGCAGACGCGACAGTTACAGGAACTGTCAAAGCGATACATAATACAACAGAGACGTTTGTGAATGAATCTTGCAAATTGTTCTCATATATGCGTGGCAGACTTTTAAGAGCACCAATACTGTGTGGCACTAAACCTGCTAAGTTGTGCAATTCGGCACATAAATTACGAGCATCAACATCCGAACCAGTAATTTCATCTGTTAAGATATCGCTGAAAACATCGCAACACTTCCTCAGGTCAGTTCGCTCATTTGCCGTTATGCATCCGAAATTGTGAAGGAAACCAAACTTGTCATAATAGGCTTTCATCTGGTCAAACCGTTCAGTCATTGACATCACGGCTTGATCTAACAAGACGTTGAAAACTGAACGCGAAATTTGTCTTTAGGATCCCATATCGGCTCAATACGAGCTTCATAATCGAGTTGCCTGAGAACCTTCTTTCTCCGTCTTACGATCTGAGCAATTAAAATGTTTATTCGTCCATCTCCAGTTCTGTAGCAAACTCTTTAGCTGCATCTTGGGCCGAATCGAACCCGTTTCTTTGTACACACACAGATCGTATTTTATTCTCGAGTGTCAAGATGTAGAAACATCTTTTTACTCGGCTTCTGATAAAGATGGATTTCAGATAGAGTCGATTGTGTTCCGAATGCAATTCAAATCGACATCGAATTGCATATCCTTACTTTGCAACATTTTACTAACAATATTAACTTTCTTCAAGAGATCGTACCGTATTACTAACGATACCAAGAAAGGGTAGTGTTTAATTTGGTTTGCCAACCCGGCAGCCTTCCTTCTTGCCTTTGGATCATTTGCACTCTCAGAAACTTCAATCAATGCATCATAAATCGATCCTATCTGAAATTTCACAGCTTTAACGGAATCTATTCGACACACCCAGCGTGTTTCTGAGATTGGCTTCACTGTAAACGATTTCACATATCACTTGAGCATATCCCAGCCTTGAGTTGACGCAGTAAACAGCAAGTAAATCTGATGCAAAATCCCCAAAAAGTTGATAGCCGTAGTTGAAGATTTCTCCATATCGCTGAGCATTAAGTTTAAGCTGTGAAAACGGCATGGAACGTAAAATGCTTTTGGATTTAAGCTCAAGTATGCGTTTTTGTACCCCGCTGTTCCGCCCCCTTTATATTGCATCCGTTATCATATCCTTGTCCTCTGCAGTTTTGTATTTGCAAATTTAGTTCATCAAGCTGTAAGGTTTAGCCAAAGTTTTTAACAGTTACATTTTGAGTTAAAGCTACTTTCCTATCCTACATAATTTCAGCTTACAATTTCCTGCCAGAACGAGTTTTCGGAATCGCAGTTAAATGCAAATGAAGGAAGAGCAATATTTAAAGTTGAAGTTCTACTGATTTCGTTAGAGAGCTGGAGATTCTGATCAGCACGCGTTTGCCTTTTAGGCTACACTCTCTCTAAGCTATTTCTAAAAGATTTCTGCATTAGATCTAAGCTCAGCCGTATTTCAGGCCGTTGACAGCTTCGCCGTTTAGTTAGCGTTTAAGTGGCCAACTCCTGTAGAATTGTGGTAGCTTCGGCTATACCTCCTTAATTAAGTTTAGTTAAGTTTTATTTCTTAGCATTCTTGAGTTCAAGCCCAAGTAGAGGCTTTTCTGCATATCCCGAGAGAGGACCGTCTGTTAAATTTATTTTGAGCACCAGAAGGGTAATTAACTCTTCTGCAGTATCTGATCTTTGTCTACGGAACTAAAGCGATTATTCGCTTACCAGTTCTCAAGGTTCCGCACATTTAGCTGTAAATTATAGGTTGGAACATTACAAAGCTTTCTCTTCTATCAAACTCAAACCTGTGCTACTACCTACTGCCAAAAAAAGCCTACAAAATGCTCACAAATCACAACTGTCGTCGCATAAATACTGACAATTCGTATTATCATAGTCATTTACTCCTGATGAGTTGCAGCAGGATTTCGCGGTGACCCTGCTGCTGACTCACTTGTTCATCGAGAATAGCGAATAATCATTCGTCAGCAAACGCATCTGTGATACTTCTTTGGCAATATGAAGCAACTCCAACGATGGAACACAGAAAATAACTTTATTTAACACTCAAATGGCGAAGTACAGAACAAGAAGAAGAAAGAATATTAACATTTAAAAATAAATTACATTCTTCGTGCGAGAGTCGCACGTGGCACTCGAGTCTGGTTTCAAATATTGCCATTCACAATACCGTAATGTTCATCTGTTTAAATTATTTAAACTACAAGATTTTAATAATATTTAAAGCTGTTACAACCTCTCCCTCAACGGAGAGACTTTTACCGAAGGGAAAAGTTCTGTGAAATTCGAAAGTTTATAAGCTCGGCTTGCTCAATTGCTTAAAGAGAAAAGGTAATTTCTCTTATAAATTTCAAAATTTCAGGCCAAAAATGTTAAGTTTTAAACAAATACTTTTACACCACATTTAAATAGAAAGAAATTGAGAACGTTCAAATATATCAGTTGAGCATACATTAAATAATAAAATTAATTCTAAACGTGGTTACATACACTAAGAGTTATTATATTACTTAATTCTTCTCAGAACATCTACGTTCTTGTGCAAAGATCCTTTTGCGATGAATGATCTTAAAATTATAAGGTTGTAATGAGAGTGCCCAGCGCATCAATCTAGATTTACATTTGGCGTTGCATTGTAGCCAGACCAAAAAGTTATGATCAGTTTGAATCAAGAATTCTTGCTGACCATCCAGATAAAAATGCAGTTTCTTGATAGCGTAGATGATAGCAGCGCACTCCTTTTCAGTAGTACAATAATTCTTTTCAAATTTAGTAAATCTTTTGCTTATATACAAATAGGATTTTCATGTTTGTTCATCATCTATTGGCATAGTACTATACTCATGCCATTGCTGAGGCATCGTTTGTATAATAATATTTTATCAAGTCGGGAGCATACAGAATTGGTTTTTTCATACAACTCTTTTAAATTTTTAAAAGCTTTGTCACATATTTCAGCCATTGTATATTTCCTTTTTTTGTTACCACCCCTTCAAAGCGTCCGTGAGGGGTGAAGCAATTTCCGAAAATCTCGGTATGTACTGGCGATAATACCCTACTAGTCCTAAGAAAGCACGTACTTCTGTTTTTGGTGTTAGATGTGGATACTCCTTTACAGCCAGGATCTTTACTTCATCCGGGTTCGTTGTCCTTGTCCCACAACATGGCCTAGGTATCTCACTTGATCTCGTGCAAATTTACATTTTGATGGTTTTTAGTCGTAAGTTTGCTTCTGTATTCTCTCTAGAACAGAAGTTAGGATTTTAAGGTGCTCTTTCAGTTTTCTGAGTAAATGGCAATGTCATCCAGGTCTGGTACAGCGAATCCTTCGCATCCAGCCAGGACTTTTAGTCATAACTTTGCTAAAAAAATATGGGCATTTTTTAAAATCAAAGTGAAACGTAGAGGCCTGAAACTTCCAAAACTAGTTACAAATGTTGCATATCTTTGGGGGCTTTTCTGTTAACGGAATTTGCCAGTAGCCTCTAGATAAATCTAATAGGGTAATATATTTTGCTTTGCTACAGTTTCGATACGTTTCTCAATATTAAGCAAAGGATAGTATTCAGTTTTAGTAACAGCATTGAATTTACGATAATCAATACAAGGCCGAGGATCCTTTGATGAAGATTCTATCAAATCATGGGAGATGTATAGTCCGATTCTCCCCGGCTCTATAATTTTAAGATCGAGCATTTCTGGATTTCCTTTTTGAGAATTTCAGTCTGTCGGAGTGACAGTCTGTATGGCTTTATTTGTATTGGTTCGTTATTTAATAGCTCAGTATCGTGACAAACTAATTTGTTAGTCCAGGATTATTGAAAAACAACCAGAATATTTCCATAAATCTTTCGTAAATCTTCTATTTGCTCGGTTTAAACCTTTTCTCTCGAGTTCATCTCCTCTATATGTCCGAGAAATTTATATACTTGAATTGGAAGGTAATGAGGAATGTCCATTTCTAAGTTCCTTCCACTTCAGTTATCATATTAACCATTTCTGGTCTTTTGTAATATGGTTTAAGCATGTTAATGTGATATACTTATTTGGCTCATTTTGATCCTCGAAACTTACAATATAATTGGTTTCTGAAATTTTCTACTCTACTTTTCCAGGTTCTTTCCATTGTACTTCTAGTTTACTTTGACGATTCGTTGATAAAACAAAAACTAAATCTCCTCTAGCAAATTCTCTTTTCACTGCGTTTCGATCGTACCATGTTTTCCTCCTTGTTGAGCTTCTTCATGTTTTCCACGGCAAGCTCTTGACATTTCTTTTCTTTTTTTCGATTAATAGTTCGAAAACGTAACTGACAACATTATTACTTTTTTCAATCGGTTCTAGCCGCTGCTCATAAAGTAAAGTGACTGGCGTTCGTAGGTTTTTGCCACGAACTAATTCTGCTGTGAAAACAGTGCTTTCGTGTGTGACTGGTTTCTGATCGCAAAGAACTGATGGTAGATAATTCTCCCATCAGAAGTCCGCTCCTATCCATCGACTCTTAACATCCTTTTATCATTCTATGAATCGCTCAACGGATTACTCTGCGGATGATACACAGAGCTTCTTACATGTTTGAATTCCGAAACGCTCCAAAAATTCCTTTGTCAAGCACTGACGAAAAAGGTCCCCTGATCTGTTTTGGATCACTTTTGGAAACCCATACGACTGAAAATCTGTAAGAAAGCATCAATCACAGATGGCGAAGAAATGTGTGTCACCGCAACAGCATCTGTATATTTGGACGACATACACAGAGCTGTAATAATATATATTTTTGCCAGTCTTTGAAATGGGTAGCGGACCAACAGCATTGACATTTATTTTAGTGAATATTTTGGAAATTACTGGTACTAATGTCATTGGAGCCTTCTTTTTGTCATTTCCTTTTCCAGCGCGCTGACAAGCATCACAGGTTCTTACAAAATCTTCAGTTTCTTTTGTAACCCTTCCAGTAAAAATATCTCAAGTCTTCTTTGGCTTTTTCACCCAAATGACCAGAAGTTCCTTCGTCTCTTTATAACTGACGACTTGAGTTTCTCAGGTATAAAACATATCTTCCCATTTTATCCGTCGTTTTTTTAACTAAATCTTTTTGTCAAATAGTTGTTGTTGTATCTCTCAATAGAATTCTAAAAGGTAAAAAGAAATCTCTTACCTTTTCTTTCACCCGGGAGCCGAGCTTGTTCCATTCTAATTCTTATTCGATGAAATATCTAAATAATTCCAAGCTTTTGCATAAAAACTGACACTTCTGTATAAATAAAGATATTATATTTAGATAC